ATAGCCTATACATCCTTAAACGAGTATTGAATCCTTACAGCTTTTCTTAAGTCTTCCAATCGCGTCACTAGTGTATTGTTTTCTTTCTTCAAATTACTTATATCGTTATTCATGTCGGCGATTAAAGCTTTATTTGGTAATTCGCTATCTCGTACGCGATGCTGAAAAATTGCATGTATTACAACACATTTATTATTCTTTCCATTTTTATTATAGATTGTATACAGAATGGCCTCACCTCCAGAGATAACTTTTCTGACTTCCATTCACTTTCTTTTAATTTCGTCAATTGTCTCAACGATTCCAGTTCCTTGCGAATACTTATCAATTCAGTATTCTGTTCTCGTAATTTACTACGAATAACATACACAAAATCACGATACTATGTCACAAAAAATAATGTGATTTCTCTTACTTGTTCAGTGCTTCATTATCAGATTCGAATTGCTTCTTCGAATTCAGCACTTCGTTGTACTTCTGATTAAGATTATCGTATACCTCCTGGCCCTTCTTCAACTCGCTTTCCAAATCTGAAATATAAGACACTGTTATCCTGTATAGATCTCTCTGAGACATGTTCCTCGCCATAGTGAGGCAACGTACTCAATATTTTCTCATTGTACGTTTGCCTCATCTCGTTCATTCGTTTCGAGTTCAATCCAGTTTTCTCTAACGAGCCGATCTTCTTTTTCAATGCAGACACTTCGTTCTCTTTTGACTCTTTCTCTTCATTGATTTGAGTCAACAATTTTTCCTTTTCTTTCTTCAGTTCCACAATTTCCGCAGTCAGATCATTTATCTTTGTGGTATTCGATGATTTTGTATTCTCCAAGTCCTTCTTCAAACGTTTCACTTCAGCATCGAGTTTGGTTTTCGTCTGTTCTACCTGAATTAAAATAGGAACAACATTTATTTTATGTTTTTATGAATGATACGTCAATTTTGGTACAAAGAAATAATCACTGATGTCATCGATTGGGCCATTTTCGATTCCCGTTCTGTGTACGCTGACAAATCGTCTTGTAGCTTCTTGGATTTCTCTTTTTCCTGAGACAATTCCTTTTTCAATTCATTTACAGTTTTCTCCATTTTCGTATTTTCCTTCTCTGACGATTTTGCTGTTTCTGTATTAAAAAAAGAGTTATTCGTAAGCGTGAATTATTTCATTTTTTAAGGCTCCTTTACCTAAATCTTTTTTCAGTTGAACAACTTCGTTGTATACTTTGAGTTTTTCCGCAGACAAAGAGAGAAGCTTCGATTTCAATTTCTCCTTCTCTTCAAGCAACGCCGTCTTCTCCTGGTCCCACGATTTCCTCTCAGTTTCCCTCAAAGTGACCGCTTCGTCAAGCTTTTTCTTCACTGATGGATGATTGTCGATTAGATTCATTATATTTATGAAATAATTAGTTATAAGATTTCCTTGGTGAGATTTATTTACTGTTTTGCAAATCTGTGTTCTTGTCATCTGTTTTGCCACTCGGCTGCGCTTTCTTTTTCTCTTTTTCCATTGATAGTTCTTTTGTGACGGATTCCAGTTTCTCTTTAAGCGATTCGTGTTCCTTTGAAAGCTTCTCGTACTTCGTTTCATCCTCTCTGGATCTTATATCCTGAACATTTACATCCTTACCGTCGGAAATATGTGTAAAAACAGTCATCATCTCTCCTGAGAAATAATTATTCTGTGTCACAGCAAGATATTACAAAAATTTCAGAATGTAATTTAATCTCAAATTCTTTTTTTGTCATTGTGGTTTATTAATATTCTTATGAATTATCAACAAATGACCGAAGATTATTTTAATGCTTTCAGTATGAGTTTTTTTATATCGAAACTCGATATGCAACGGACCTATCTCTTTCTCCATTTCGTCTACCATCTTTTTCAGTTGCACCTTGGGTGTGAAATCAGTTGTTTTCTTCGGTGTTCTATTTTGGAACTCGCCTTTGATCTTCTGCAACGTTTCCTCCACTTTTTTCATCTAGAATTGAAATTAAAACGCTCCGGTCATATAAGATGTCCTTCCTCATTGTATAAATTAGTTTTTATTGAATGAACGATTTGAATTTTGTAACAAGACCTCTTCGTATTTCTTTTCCACGGTTGTCTTCTCAGTCTCCAACTCTTCTACTTTTCGCTCGACTTTCCTCAACTTGAACGACAAAATCCGACAATTTTTATTCGACTGTTCCAAACTCTTTCGCAAGCGAACATGTTCGTCTGCTTGTTCATCCCTTAATTAACAGGAATTATTTACATCAAATACTTTCACTTGAAGTGATTGTAAAAAATGCAGTAATTAAGAAATTGGTTCTATACATTTTCTTTCTACAAAAATTAATCTGCTTGAGTTATAATAGCTTTCTGAAATCTATTTTTACAAGTTATCTGCGTTCTCGTTATAGTTACCTTGATTAAACGATTGCATATTCAATGAAACGAAGTAAAACGTCATTCGGGAGGGACGGAAACGCGAGGGAAAGAATCGAAAGGGTTCGACGACAGTATAACTATTACATATTCCACATACTGCTCTCTAGATTTAAAGATTGCTCTTAAAATTTGAAACTGAAACGCGAGGCTGCAAAATTTGATCCATGTTCGGATCCAGCTTCGAATCTTCTGCCCTGCAACAATTCACATCTCTTATTTTCCTATACATTTTCGAACCTCGTGACCTTTCTTCACAGACGCATTTCACAATCTGTTCTATTTTCAAATTGATGAAAAAAAATTCGATTTACTCTTCTCTTTGATCTTTCTTTTATTTTTGCAGTAAGTGGATATCCGCTGTACTCGAGCCCCTTCGGAATACTTAATGTGTCAGCGATTTTTTGTTAATCTTTTTCTTCGTCGCTTTGATAATTATACGGAAATATTCCATATCACGTTGCTTCAAGATGAGTCGAGTTTATTAATGCAAACAAATGTAAATACGATTAAAACAAGATAAACGAGAATCGTAAAATAGCGAGTCATAATTCGCTGTTCGGTTAATAAATTTTAATGAATCTGTCAAACAAAACAGAGTTAGTACACATCTTGAACTTTCTTTAATCTTTACAAATTCAAGAAATTACAGAACATTAAATCGAATTTTTTCACTTAGAAACTTGACATTAGGCATACGGTGACAGGACGTTTACCTTAATGATATGTACAGATTTCAAATGCAAAGGAAGAAGATATCAAACCGAAAAGAAGCCAAGGTAAACTCATGCATAAAAATGTATATTCAAGAAGCAAGTTACCTGAACGTGTCTTGCAATTCGTATATCTCTTCTTCTAGTTGCCGAATTTCTTTTTTCATATCTTCGTTTTCGTCCATCAAACTTTCGCATAAGTTTTCAGCCGCTTTCAGTTTCGATCGCAAATCGTCTTTCTCTCTATCTCTTTCCCCTCTGAAGGATTTTAAGTTTACTTCCTTCTCGAGCTCCCTTATCTTATTCAATAAACTGTTTTTTTCTTGCGTGAGCGCTAAACACGATATTATTTAATTTGATTATTTAAGAGGTAGATTTTATTTGTTATAAAAACCGATTTTGGTTCGTTAATTTTCTGTGCTTCATTGCATTGCAAGTTTTCTGTATTGTGTAGAAAATATAGAAGTATTTACTGTATGCAACGTGTAAAGATATAAAAAGCAGCTTGGCATTTCTATTCAAAACACATTTCTTACGCTGGTAGTGTAATTTTCAAATTTATGTTGCATTAAAATTTGCATAATCATTCTTTTCTATACCAATACCTTCATTCTTCTTCTGCAATTTCTGCGCATCATTTGGCGTAGCTTTACTTGAAATAGTCTCCATAGTGGACAATCGCCTCATCAAGATTTCGCTCTTCTCCTTTTCCGCTCTTTCGCATCGCGCTTGCAATTCTCTAATCTGTGCCCTCAAGTGATCCATCTCGCTCTAACCATAACAAACCCGACTGTCATTTCCTTATAATTTTCATCCACGCTAATAACTCTGCTATTGAAATGGCAAACAGCACAGTGTCCAAAGAAATTAGTTTCTTTGGCGTCAAAGTTGTTACCATTCCAATTTCAATTATCTAGAGCACTATGATCATTATTACTGCTACAAGCGTACTATACCTGAAGCGATATAGATTTGATAAGAAAGAAAAAAGATGAGACAGACAGAGAAGCGAATAGACGAAAGTGTTAAGAATGAAATGAAGAATGCTAGTGTTATACTTTTTCCGTTCTCTCCTCGTTCGACGTTCGACGGTCGCCATTTTTTTCGCTGCTTTTCGAAGAACCGATCTTCGACTTCTTCACCTGTGTAGAATAAATCAGTATACAACATGGAGATATGTATTTCCCTGTTTTATCGCTTTGCTCGAGCTAAAAGGGGCTGAGAAAATCAAATAAAAGACAGACAAACAGATAGGTAGATAGACAGATAGATAGATAGACACAGAGTGGGTCTGAGATGATAGGGGGAAAGCTGTGCCAGTGCCGCTTTTAATGTGCTCAAGTTCAACGAGTGCGATCCGTGGGACAAAGTTCAAATGTCATTTGAACTCGTAATTGAACGTTGCTTAATGGTCGAGCGATTTTCAAGCCGAAGTTACAGAAAATGATATTTGAATTTCATTTGCACTTTGCCATCTGCTTTGAATTGCATATTATTCTCATTTGAATATTCGATTCGAATTCGCTCGTACCAACGTCCACACATTTACAATGTATTAACCAAGTTAAGTTCCAAGGAGTTACAAACGTGACAGAAACGAACAGTTAGAAGTATCATTTGTACTTGACTTTACCTGTATTATGAACTCGACGTCGTTCTCCGACGCGCTCTCGTTGCTGTTATCAATCACTTCCTTTATCTGTAACTTCGGTGGCCTTCGAACTGCTGGTTTAACAAAGGATTTACACAATGAAGAACTGTTATTCGTTTTTAATTCTCAGTTTTAAGTGTTTAGTAATTCACTTTTTTAATGCTGTATAAACTACGGATTTTATGCATATAGAAAAATCAAATCCCTAGTAAACATCCAAAGATATACAAGAAATTCCTATCTACATTTCAATGTTTAAATTTCAGTTTTCCATAAAAATCTGTATTGTAGTTATATCAGTTTGACAGGAAGAACAAATGAGACAATTAGAATTCAATGAATTCAAATTTCGAAGATACCTTCTATTCTTTCCTCTTCTTTGTCGATGGCAGTGAGATCCATGAGGGAGGTCCATCCGGCGGACGCGTACTGGTTCGATGATTCCGAGCTGCCTTTGAAATCATCTTTAGCCAGGTTCGTCGCCGACGACCAACCGCGTTTGCCATTCTCCGCAGATCTACCGAGTGAGACTGCATCAGTTTTCAAGGATAACTGAGACCAGGTGTCTGCACCAGCTAATCAAATCAGGCCACTGAAATTGTTAGCTTTAAGACTCACCGGCCTGACGATTGGTTGAAGGAAAGACTAGGGGTCGATGATGTGATTTCCCTCAAACTATCTTTCTTGCCCCCGTGCTCTTTGTAATCCCTAAATTTCATTTAAACTTGTGTAATTTCATCGTGTACACAATTCTATTAATATCAAGTAAATTTTATTATACAATTTCTCGCAGATTACTTAAAACTCTAATTACTTAAAACTGTAGTTTATTTTATAATCAATATTTATCTTTATCTCCAGTCATTTATTTCATCTAAATTTTTCATTGAAATTGAACACAATTATAATAATCGCTGCTATTAAAAAGATACCTGAAGCATCTTTTGCAACGGGTCGGCCACCGCACCTGGGGATGGAAACCGAGGGGGCAGAGGGGGTCTCCTTTCTTCGACGAGTACATGTGGTGCATTCTACGATAAATCATTAGAAAACGTAAATCGTTTCTCTGAACGTGCAACTGGTTTATACATTTATATCAGTCTCCTGTTACACGTGTACTCATACATAACATTAACGCTGTTGCATGTCACATATTGGGTCGCGTGCGTGCAGTACGCTTGGGTTAAAGTCACATCGACATTTGGACCACGGTTTAATAACGTGCTCTTGAATAAAACGTTGGTTCTTGTTCAAGGTGTAAAAATTAACACAGGATGATGATCGATGTGACGATGACACAATTTTATGCTGTTTGTACGAGTCATTAGTCTGGGTATAAATGTAAATTAAATTCTCACGAAGTTTGTGTCGACATTTAATGCTTTTAATTGTATGAACTTGAAATTCGTAATAAGAAGTTAGCAGACCCAATGTTTTATTTGATCATAAACTTTTTATCGGAGATAGTATGCGAAGAGTATTAGATACAAGACGGTGGTACAGATGAGTTCGTAGTTCGATAGCAGTGTAAGTATCAGATGAACGACGAAACGATGCAGTTTATACATTTATCCGAGTAAATTTCGTACCACCATAAACGCGTTGGAGAGTGTGCAAGGCTGGAAATCGAGAATCTGGACGATTTCCGGCAGAGCATATCTCGCAAGAGCGTCGCACGTGGTACACCGGCGCGCCTCTAATTAGCAAAGATCAGGACGAGATCTACCTAGAAACGAAACCTGGATTAATCGGAGGGGACCAGTTTCGCAAGCGCGGTCGACGAGACTTTAAGTCCGGGCTTGGCTTTCGCCGGATCGCGAAATACTTGGCAGTGCATAAATGAAATTTCAGATCTGCATCATATAGATAGTGCGTGAGGGGAGCCTTGATGGAGTCCCGCTGCAACGCGAATCCAAATTTTCTTTAGTTGTTCATCATGATGGCGCAGATCTATCTTGTTCAAGTTTTCATTAATAAATATCGTTGATTAATAATAACAAAATTTTTGTTGGATTGTTTGCAGTTCATTATTGTTTGTATTTCTAGTAATGAGTTACCTACTCATGATTATAATTTAAAATCGATATCAAGTGTTCGTTGCAGAAATGTATTTCTGGATTCATTTATATTTCACTCGAATCATTGAAAATTAGATTACATTAAAGAATACCTCTATTAACTAATTAAATAAGAAGAAAACGGAGATGAATCGCTAAATGTTCTTCAGATATGAATTGAAGTTGCATTTTGAATACGTGTAAGATCTTTCTATCACCCAGTGACTCGGAATCGTGAAGAAGAAAATCGGTTCATTGACTTTGGACTTGTACCTTACGCAATTCCATATCGGATGTAGAACTTACTTGATCGACGTTCACCCGAACCGAAGTTAGCGGGACGGGATTAAATTTGTCTCGTCTCGAGCGTCGTTAAGAATACTTGCTGCACGCGTTCCTCTTTGGCGCACCGTCCGTCCAGAGGAAAACGAACAACGAAAAAGAATCCGTCATATTATAAAATAAATAATAAAGCGTAGAACGAAGTAACAAGAGTAAATCATCCAATGACGCGGCGGCGCGCGGGAAATGCACTTGCCGGAAGCGATTCTCTTGATTCAACTTGCTATCAGACTCGTTTACATGTTTCGCAGTTTTTTACGCGCGCGTCGCGGTTTTTTGCTTGCTCTTTTTTCTTTCTCGTCGTCCGCGACAATCGCAACGTCGATAGACGTCACTAATAGCACTGACACGCTGCTGCTATTACAGGGGATAGGCTGTTACTCGGCTCGGACCCGTACGTGTGGTAATTTGGACCATCGCCAGGATGTATATTTATCTCTAGCTATAAATATAGTGCGGCTTCTTACGAGTATTTTCCGTACAAACACATGCGTTTATGCACGTACGTACGATTTTGCCGAACAAACGAATTCGTGGACGATTTCCCCACTTTTTTCTCATTGTCATTGCGCCACGGATTCCTCCGCGTCTCCTTTCGTTGAGATCCTCCGCATCGCGTTGATTACGACGCAGCATCTACAGTCAAACGAAGTAACAAGAGTAAATCATCCAATGACGCGGCGGCGCGCGGGAAATGCACTTGCCGGAAGCGATTCTCTTGATTCAACTTGCTATCAGACTCGTTTACATGTTTCGCAGTTTTTTACGCGCGCGTCGCGGTTTTTTGCTTGCTCTTTTTTCTTTCTCGTCGTCCGCGACAATCGCAACGTCGATAGACGTCACTAATAGCACTGACACGCTGCTGCTATTACAGGGGATAGGCTGTTACTCGGCTCGGACCCGTACGTGTGGTAATTTGGACCATCGCCAGGATGTATATTTATCTCTAGCTATAAATATAGTGCGGCTTCTTACGAGTATTTTCCGTACAAACACATGCGTTTATGCACGTACGTACGATTTTGCCGAACAAACGAATTCGTGGACGATTTCCCCACTTTTTTCTCATTGTCATTGCGCCACGGATTCCTCCGCGTCTCCTTTCGTTGAGATCCTCCGCATCGCGTTGATTACGACGCAGCATCTACAGTCTATCCTTTAAATATTGGACCGCACTTGTTCGAATCATTGTTCATTGTTTATCTAATTCCCTGATTACGTATTTAAAATAAAAGTATCGATAGGTATTCATAGCGTTCTATTAAATGAAGCAGTGGTAGAATGTTGTATGTTCGTAAAATTATTTATTCAGTAATAAAGTAATGTAAATTTACGTACAAATAAGACTTTTCTTTAGAAACGTACGTTAATCATCGTAATTGATCATCGTGTTTTGAAGAATTGCAGTAAAATGTCAGAGTTTAATAAATAGTCATAACGCATTTTCGTTTACATTCACGGATTCACGTCGAATGGCAAATTGCCCATAATGTTATCTGACTCATCCACATTTTTTGAAAATGTAAACTCAGCTGCTACGCGCACAGTAAAGATTTAATTATATTTGCGATTATAACGTGGCACGAACGATTAATAATCGGAATCTCAATCTTCGAGAAAAACACCCGTTATCGTTCAAGGATTTATGTTTTAGATTATACTTATATTTTATTTCTATATTTATATGTTATCTATTATATATACTAATTTCTAAAATTCTTANAATTTTATCTCCTACAAGTAACAACAAGTTAGAAAAGATATAATTACATTTTAAATTACAGTTTTTTTGAATACAGGAATGCGTGTATTCGGAGTAAGATCCGATCTAGATTATAACAATATCTCGATTGCACGATTACGTAGCGTATAATTCTCTTGTTTTTCGAATCATACGAAGATATTCATCGAATTAGAGATTTACAAGTTATTGCGTTTTATAATTTAGCGCGAAGGAGCTCGATCTTTTTGCCAGCGCGTTTCTGCAGCTCGATCAGCTTCATCGCCATTCCCATGTTACCTTGAATCTTGATCTTCCCTTGGAAAAATGCCCTTTGCGGATTCAACTTGCCAGAAATAAAATCGACAATATCTGCGTCGTTGATCGTGATCGTAACGTCAGGTTTAGCTTTTCCATAAAACTCTACCTTTCCTTTTCCCGTCTTGGCATCTATAATCCAGTAACCCTCGAGGCCTCCCGGCCCATTCACTTTGAACCCGTACACCCCACGAACCTTTTCGATCAAATTTTCTTCGTCCTCTTGCATTGCGATTTCTAACAATTTGAACAACGCGTTTGCCTTGAACTTCTCCGGATTGACGGTCGCGTTCGTGTATTTCTTGATTACGGATTGATGTTGAGGAAAGCCCATGCGATACAAGGCGACGACCACCGCTCCACCCAGACCTATGTTGTGCTGCAAGGCAAGTTTCGCCTTCGGCACTTGTCTCTTGCCAGCCAGGCCACGGAGTTGCCAACAAAGTTCGGTGCATTGCGCTAATCCGGTTGCTCCCAATGGGTGTCCCTTCGATATTAAACCGCCGCTTGGATTTATCACGTATTTGCCTCCGTACGTGTTTTGTCCACCGTCGACCAGCTTCGCACCTTGACCCGGGGGGCAGAGGCCCAACGCTTCGTACGTAATAAGTTCGTTGGTTGAAAAACAATCATGCAACTCGATGACGTCCACATGCTGCGGTCTGTATTCGGTCTGAGTAAATACCTTCTCAGCAGCATTCTTCGTCATGTCATAACTGTAACAACGAACATGTAATTAACTTACTCACGTTTATTTTGGAAAATTAATTTTCGGAATAAAGTGTTCCTTACCCAATAAGTTTGATAAAACTCTTTTCCTTGAATGTGGTAGGCACATCCGTGGACATTTCCATCGCTAAAATTTCTACAGCTTGGGACTCCAGTTTGTGTTTATGAACGAAATTCTCATTAGCTAAAATTACAGCTGCGGAACCATCTGATGTAGGACAGCACTGGAGCTTAGTTAGAGGACCGAACACCGTGGGAGAACTCATTATCTGCTCCAAAGTGTATTTTTCTTGGAACTGGGAATAAGGATTGTTCATGGAATGCAAATGATTCTTGTAAGCAATCTTTGCAAAGTGTTCAGGCTTCGTACCATACTTCTTCATGTGTTCGATACCAGCGTTACCAAACATTTGAGCAGTGATCGGACTTTCATTTAGGCCTGAAATATAATGAAGTAATAAAGAAAAAAGTATAAATATTTTATGTAGTTCAATAATTTGATAGATTACCAGCAACATCGGCCATGAGTTCAACATGTTTGTCCATAGGATTGGTACGATCCAAGAATTTGGACATTAAAGAACCCCGTTCCATTTTTTCGAAACCAAGAGCTAGCGTACAGTCAGCAGTCCCGGTCTCGATAATTTGCTTAGCCATCATTAAAGCAGTCGAGCCAGTAGAACAATTATTATTCACATTGTATATGGGACAACCGGTAAGACCAACTTCGTAGAGTGCCCTTTGGCCGCAGGTGGAGTCCCCATACACATACCCAACACAGGCAGCTTTCACCTTGTCATACGATATCTTTGCATCCTGCAGAGCCTTTGTAACTGCTTCCTTTGCCATGTCTGGATAGTCAAAGTTCTCCCGTTTTCCTGGTTTCTCGAATTTGGTCATCCCGACCCCAACGACGTAGACCTTCATCCTCGGTGACATTCCGGCGGCTTCTTGAGAAACGTAGAAAACAAAGAATTTAGAGCAACGTAAACACGCGTAATTAACACTTGGCCTGGTAACACTCGCGCGTAACTGAAGTGCGAAGTCTTAGTATAAGACACTGCCAACGAAATTGAACTTTATCCTCTTGATATAAATATCTAATGATAAAAAGATCTGAATAAAATCATCAAATGACGTAGCTACTTTTGCACGACTGGCGTCGATCACGCTGATCACGCTCAACTGGCGAGCGCAAATGGTTGCAGATACAGCGGGCTCCGGGACCACGGGAGAGCGAAACTGAACATTATTAAGTCGGCCGCTCGCGACGGCTGGCGTAACGGCGTAACTGAGATGTCGCTTTCCGAGTAAGGATCAAATTGTTCTTCAAAACAGGCGGTCGATTGCTGGATTAAGTTTGTAAACATGTCACACGTGTTTAATTCAGAATTATTACACAATTACACATGACAATATTCACTTGCGTTTTGTTACAGCTTCATGGCACACATGGTTCGTTTATTTGGATGTTGATCCTGAACATTGCATGTCATGGAATACTATATGGATTAAAAGATGATCGGACGTTCTTAGATTGAATTCAGACTTCGTTTAATTAATGATAATAGAAATTGCTACTAAATTTGTATCATATTGTTCACGAAAGCGCAAACGATTACCTGTGACAGGTGTCATCAGGTGATAGAATGATCAATCGCGATAGAGATTTGAAAGGGATACCCAGGATACCCGCTGGAGACGCAGCTGGTCGGCTGGTCTTTGTTCAATGCTTCGCTACGAATTTTGTTCCGTTTTGTGTATATATATATACATATGTGCATACATGTATACTAGAAAATCGCGCCGGCCATTGTGCGCTCGTGTTTTGGTTCGGAAAAGATGGCGGAGTCTTGTTTTCAAGATTGGTCGCACAGAAACACTACAGTTTTCGAATACACGACGAAAGTTGACATGTTACGTGTTGCGATCGTCGAGTGAATGAAATTGTTGTCGCGACACAGTTTACTTACGAGATCGAAGGGAGAGATATTCTCGTGGATCGCAAGTGACGTGAGAACTGTGTCTTCAGCGTGCAGATCCTACAGGAACTCGAAATCGAGTGATTAATTGGAAAGGTTTTGGGTGTTTTCTGTGCGAAGCTACGATTGTGGTATCCTAAAACGTGATCAGAACGCCGAGGATAAGATGGTTTGATCCAATCGGACGTTAACGAGGTTAAATAAACTGACGTTTTAAGTGGTAGTAAGACTGCTTGGTTAGGTCAATTGCCCAGGTAGGCATCACCTATGATACTCGTACAACACTGCACGTGTTCCTATCGGTGGTTCACGTTAAAACGTGACATACGATCAAGCTCATAAATCCTCGTGTTAAATGGAATTGCTTTAAACCACAATGTCGTCAAGCGATTTTGATGTGGAGCTCTTCGAGCGAAGGCTTCACACGTTGAAGGATTCACAGGAATCGATACAAGGCCTTTCAGCTTGGTGTTTGGAAAGGCGACAGCATCACAAGAAGATTGTTGCTACGTGGTTGCAGGTTCTAAAAAAGGGTGAGCATTTTTTCAATATCACTCAAGGTTGTATCGTCCTCTGATCTTTGTTTACTTTTCAAGATTTAGTTCTGTTCAATTGACCAAGAATATTGTTTTGATCTTCTTTATTCATTGTCTTTGCTCGTATAGTTTTTACTTATATTTTTGATTTTTTCTTGATTGTCTAATAAGAATGTTTTTAAATACCATATCAGTGAAAGTTGAGCACCGGTTGACACTGTTTTACCTGGCAAACGATGTCATCCAGTATTCCAAGAGGAAAAATTTCGAATTTGTGGAGTCATGGGGCACGACTCTGCAAAGGGCTACGACCATGGTCAGGGACGAAAAAGTTAAACACCGTATATTGAGGATCTTTAAAATCTGGGACCAAAGACAAGTGTATGATGAAGAGTTTCTCGCGGATTTGTCTGGTCTGATCTCAGCAGCACCCAAAAAGAAAATGGATCCTCAACCATCAGTACCACCAGAGGAGTTTCAAGCAGCTTTACTGATCTCTACTATGAGATCATGTGCGACGTTAGAACAAGCCACCGATGCAAGATTACGAGATTTACGCGACAGCAATATAGATATAGAAAATGCAGAGGAACTGTGTGCTTCCTTGAAGGACAGGAGAAGAGTGGAGGATGCGGAAAAGGAAGTCGATCTAGCAGTTAGAAATGTCGAGAATTATGTACGCGCACTAGAAGCGGAAATCAGGGAAAGGACACAAGTTCTCGACCTGCTGGAGCAGGCTGATCAATTTTACGAAACTCAGAGGGGAGAAGTGAAAATAGTTACTAACGTAAGTAATGTAAAAGCGTTGTACGCTCTTTTATAATTAATCGTCTTAATATTTCTAAACGCTTTCGACATGCAGGCATATAGAAATTTTGGCAGTCGTGTAAAAAATTTGAAGAAAAAATTGGACGAGCTTCTACCGACGTTAGTTTCACCAATTCCGACTCCAGATATAAACGCGCCATCTCCAAGTCCTGATAGTGATATAGAACTCCCAGGTGAAGAAACTCAGTCTCAGAATCAATTAGGAATGATAGATGTAGCGCTACCGTCTATCTATGGTTCATACTCACATGATTATGATCCAATGCCTGTACCAGCTCCAGATATGGGACAAGTCAATGAATCTGGAGATTTTACAAACAATTTTTCATCCTTTATGGGAGGAAATGTTGATTTTGGTAATATGGTAAGGCATTGCAATTAAGAGAATATATTGTTTTTAATTCTTTCGTGATTTGTTTGTTTTTCATTTTACAGAGAAATATATTTAACGAGAGATCGATAACGCCTACCGGAATATCACAGCAATATAACGAATCGTTAGAAGTATGCATACTCTAGATAAGCAACTTATTGTTTGATAGAACATTATAAAAATACAATCTGTATGTTATCAGGCTAAACCTATAGAAGTTATCAACATGAGGCCCTCCAAGAACGAAAATAGTAGTGCAGATTTTAATATCTCTAGTTTCTTAAAGACTGTCCTTTCTTCTTCCGACGGGGTACAAGACTCTGGTGCTATTCCCTTTCTTGGTCTAGATATTCCAGAATCGCAAGTTGAATCTCCACAGGGTTCGAATTATAGACATTCACCCGTTCTTGGGCAACATCCAGTAACTCCTGTGATCTCGAGAATGATGGGCAGTAACACACCGATGGTTGTGAATAATTGTCCAATCACGCATAGTACCCCGCTACCCGTGCGGAACTTGTCCGCCGAATCGCATACTCCCTCCCCGTATTCCAGTCAAAACAGTCAAAGCAACATCATATCATTCGATGGTCCTACTAATAATAATACTGTCAATCCTTTACCACCACCTCCGTTACCTCCGCCTATCTTCCTCGATGACGAGAATTGCTACAACAAGTTACCGCCTAAGTTCCCCACGTGGACGCCACCAAGCGAACCTCTAAAGGAGCCATCCAAATGGGAAGATAAAGGTGTGCATCCATTTGTTTTAAATAATTTCCTGCACGGAATGTTTTTAATACGATGGTAATAATTCCTTAATATAGCGGGTGGCGCTATATTTATAGGAAAAGATGGTATGAATTCTACGTGGTCCGGTGAATGTGACGACAAAACGAAACCGTGGATAGACGGTGATACGGATAGGTGGGACGAAACCACATGGACCAACCCTGTTAGAGTAAAAAGCGAAATTCTATCCGAAACTCCGGAATCACCTCCCATTTATGAAAAATCGGGTTTCACCGATCCAGTGGAATATGACGACTCTCAACCACAAGAATCTCTTTTAAGTAGCGCTGGAGATGTAGATCATAGGTGAAATATCGAATCTTGGAATTCTGATTGGAGTTAGAAATAAAAAGAAAAGTATCTAACTAGCATGTGATCCCTTAGAGTAATAGCTCTTCCGATGGTGGTAGAGAACCAGTTACCGTATCGTTTAATGAAAGCGGCGGATGTGGATCATCGGAATTTGATTAGCTTGACGGGAAGTCCGGCGAATCACAATGTCAGTGAAAATTCGATGGGCGCGATACCCAGTAATAACAACCTATGGTCCGTTGCTGATGCGGACTACCGGTAAGACATAAATATCAATCAAAAAGAGAACTTCGTGTTATTATATTGTAACGTGAGAGCTCTCAAAAATTCTTTATACTACACAAGCAGGCAGCATGGTGATATAGTCGAAAGCGTCGATATGGAGATGTCTGATGATGAGACAGAAAGTAAGCAAAAGGGTAGGGTATTGGTCGATGTCCGGTCGCAAGATAGGGACCTAAGAGTCGGTAACCCATCGGCTTCGCAGCACGTAGACATGGAGATGCGAATGATCCCGCTTCCTGCCGGTCAAATGCCAGGACAGATCATGCAAGACGTGCACGCGATGCACTCGAGACCCCCTCCGCCCCCGCCTCCACCACCACAATTTCACCCCGGTCAAGCATCCTTCCATCAGGACCAAACCGAATTCCGACGTAATCCCGGGACGGAGTTCCAGTCGAATTTCCATCAGAACAGGCCACCTCCTAACTTCATACAGAACCAGCAAGACTTTAGTCAGCAGGAGTTTCATCAAGTACATCAAAATCAACCAGATTTCCCGCCTCAGGACTTTGACTATCGCGAGAATCATACGTTACGACCTGGCCAAGAATTCCTCGGCGAGCCTCAAGTGCGCGGCAGGTATTCGGAGTCAGGAGAACACCAGCACCGAGAGATGCCGTTCCACCGCAATGAAAGAGGAGGGCGAGGAGGTCGTGGATTCCCTAGGAGTCGACGAGACCGGTACTCCGATGACTACAAACGGAGGGACGTTCCGAATAATCGCAAACGATCGCAGGATCATGTCATGGCCTCGCCGGATGTTGTGCCGAACAATCGACCTCTATTGGTACCGTCGGACACCGTCATCATCTTTGATGACGAAGGTAGGCCTGTACGTATGCCCAGTGACAAGGAACCGGCAGAGGGTGCGGAACAGCCGTCGGAAAAAGAGGAGACCTGTCAGGATCGTATGTTGCCTCATGTCGTATCGAACTCTCTCGATCAACCGGGTCGCGTTCATGAACGCGAGCCTGATCCTCCGACGGATCCAGACCAGCAACCGATGAACCAAGTGACAGTTGTACCGGTGATAACAGACTCGAAAGATTCCCAGCTCACGCAGTACGTTCCTGTCTCGGAATTCGAAGAACAGGTTGTATCGGAGGCTGTGACATCCGAGAAGACCTGTGACAGTAGCGAGTCGATGGAGAACGCGGGTCGTGAGATGAGTTTCTCTGAGCAGCAACCAATGTCCGATCCACAGGACGATCTCTCGGGTAATGAACTGAAGAGATCGTCGACGAACGGTAGTTTCGACGAGAACGAGCTTAGTCCGAGCAGCAAGAGGATCGCGTTGTCGAACGGTCCTCAGACTCCGACCGATACCGAATTGAACGGACCCGCGTCCCAGGCGTCGAGCGAGTTGCATCTTGGGTTACTCGAGTTCGACGGCCCAGTCGGACTGAATTTCCGACCGCGTCTCGGAGGTCCTGTCCAATTCTCTCCATGGAGAGGCGGCCTACCGAGAGCCAGAGGGTTCAGGGGTGGGCCCAGGGCTCCTTGGATGGATAGAGGACCACGCGGACCCGTGATCGGCAGCTTTATGCCGAGGGGATTGAAACGCGGAGGACAGTTCCGGGGTAACGGATTCAGAGGTCGGGGACGTGGTAATAATTGGTAAACAGATTGACAGAAAGATTTGCAGTTGCTTTTGAAAGAAAAGAGATTCATTGAGCTTGTATTTCGTGTACATACGTAAAAGAAGTCACGTCGTCCAACCGTCTGATGATTCGTTGCATGCGTTTCTCGAAGAAAAATGAGGGAGGACAGGTGAAACTGTGTGCGATCCCCCCTAGATCGGTTTTGAGTATCACGCTTTTGTGCGATCAATTCGCCTATATACATATATAAATAAAAAACTACATAGATTTATAGATATAAATGATATACACGTACACGCATTCTCTTTTTCTCTCTAATCAGTCCGTATACTTTTAGAGGTCTTGATTCGACTTCACGCGTACACATAACACGTTTTGTTATAATCTAGATGTACTATATTGAACCGGTATCTTTGGTGATAAGAGGGGTGTATCTGTCGCTTCGTTGATTAACTTTTTAGAATTTCTTAAAAAGTAAAGCGAAACTTCTGTTTTGTGCGTGGTCGCAAACAAAAAAAGTAATAGTATTTATTATTACATGGTTTTGGCTTTAACTTGATTCCTCTTTCACGTGCTCAATGCAGGAATCGATCAGAACGAAAGGTATGGAACGAGAACGAGAAAGAGAAAGAGTCGTTCGAGGTGTTTCTTAGATTTCTTTTTCACGGGTCGCTTCTTTATTCACTCTATACATATGCATACATACCGACGTACGAACCGCTTACTTGCCTGTTTTCTTGTCCACGTTTCTAATCTTGTTTTTCTCGTCAATACTCGATTTATAAAGAAAGAACAGGCGTGTCAACGAATCTTTAAGAAGTGTATTAATAAAAATGCAATGTTTATGTTCTGGTCCACTTCGTACATTTCCCCCATTTATTTTCTCGAGTTTTACGTATTTAATCGTGTACCATTTATTTTTTATTTTGCTGGTGACAGCGATAAGAAATGTTCTATCGAACAAAAGGGAAATAAAAAAAGAAATAAAACGACAACAGGAAATCGAATGAAGCGTTTGTTAATGCGAAACAAATAAGAACAGATCAATAGTTTGTTCTCGATGGTACGACTATTTCTATTTTGTTCGGGTGCTCCATTGCGAAGAGAGTAAGCCGTTTGTGTAATAAAAAAGAGAAAAATGAAATTTTTTACAAGCGAGTTTTGTTGGCAATGATTCGTTTGCTCGATCGGCCCGCTTTTTTTATTTTTCTTTCATATAACTTTCGTTTCACCCGTCGATCATAACAGCGAGCAAAATGAAAAAGCAAATAGAGCTTCACAAAATATTTTTCACAGAGAATTGTAAAACTATATGTATATATAAGTATATATAGTATGTATATATTTACACGAACCACTGTAAATGTAAAAGAAAACATGCAACCCTAAGCGACAGAATTTCCTTTATCGTTTAAGCTTGGTTGTGTATCAATTTTGTCATGTGCATCTCATCCGATAGATTTTAAGTTAGAAAGAATTTCGAACGATTAATTAACGATCATGATAAGGTAGCGAGAGCAAATGAATCATTGTCGGGAAAAAAAAAACATTTTGTAGATAGCGAAGCGCACAGGATATTAAGTGTAGCAAGACAAATCCTTGGAAAAACTATTAATTGATTGTTTAATAAAACATTGCAATCTACCGAGGACCCTCGCCAGCACTCGACCGACAAAACCGCAATCCCGTTTTTCAGACGTACATTGCATTTTTTTCGTCACCCAATTTATTTAACCCTTTAAAGCATCTCGCGACCAAGAACGTTTTATTTCTTCTACCATTCAAGTGTATCATGGGAATCGTAGAGGAACTAAACCGTCGCTCTTCATTTTTTTTTTCACGTAGATCTACAGTTTTGTATTTTGCTTTCCTCAGTTCTCACGTTTCTGACCATTTATAGTGCACTTTATAGATTCTATTAGAGTTTTTCCTCTTGCAGTTTCAAGAATTATTCCATTTGTTTTAAAATATTTACCTTTCGCTCCTAAGGAATTTCTGAAATCGATGGATCTATCGCGATCCACTTCATTGAACCTTTGATCTTTAATTTATAATCTGTGATTTTACAATTAATTATTACATAATAAGTTCTTAATATTTCTTCTTAAAATATGCATGCTCATTTGTTATTAGAAAAAATCGATTAGATACTGTGAGTGATATTTAAAAATGAAATGTTGGGACTCAATTTTCGTGAATGAACACGAGTAATAATAAATTTAACAATCATGAATATTTTCTTCTTGTTTAAAATGCTTTAAAGGGGAAAATCGTAGCTGATTTTAAAAGTACGCGGACTATGTATCGATTTGTATATAGTAACGCGTGATAAATGCGAATAACACTTGTAACGCGAGCACGTATAAGCGGCCTGGATCTATGAAATACACATTGTACAGTTTTAGCGTTACATCATTACCTTCTTTTCGCACGATGTAAAATCGAATGTCGTTCCTACGTTTTGCTTTCTTTCTTTTTTTCTTTCATTCTTTTCATCCCTGTTACCGGATTAATAAAACGTCTCTCTGCTTGATATTGTACGAAGCGGAGTTGCGTTTGGAAATTTCGATCGATAAAAGATAACGTCTCTGTTCGATTATTTCTTTATTTTATTTTTTAACAAATCTCTTACAAAATTGTACATGTATTACAGTTATACAGACTGAGATGTGAAGTCTGTTAAAGAGTTTACAAAATTATTGTTTTACACAATTTGATTACATGTGTCGAAAAATTGAAATTGTATAA